TCCGGAACTCCTCGCAGCCGCAAGTTGTTCCTCCTGGAGCGGTCTTCAAGGTCCGCTAGCTTCACTTCAGTCATGGTAAATTTTTGCTCCAAGTGTTCTACGTGGCTTGCAAGGTCGTTATGTGCCACAGCAAAATCGTCCATTTTGGACTCGACGTGCGATGTCCGTTTATTGATCTCTTGTACATCCCTTCGTAGTGAGTCCATAGAATGTTGCCAGGACATGATTAATTTCTGGGATAAGTTGTCAAGCGCTACTTGTAGGTAGCTTTTGGTAAGCTGGTCAGCAGGGTTACCCAGTTCTGTATCTTGTTGTGAGTCTCGCGGGTTCGGGCTGGCGTCGCCATCTTGCGAAGGCCGCATCTGCTCCGTGACTTCTTGTTGTTGTTTATTATTGAAAAAGTTTAGTTTTTCATTTTTTGCAGAGCTCTTCTTTGCTTTAGTTTGTGCCATCTTATATTTTAGCAGTTTGCAGGTCCTAATCGTCCGGATTGATATAGATTGTCGGCCTCGGTAGCCGGAGCTCGGGTTCAAGCGACCATTAAGCTCGGCGGTTAGCCACGCCCCCCATAATGTTGTTTTTAACATAAAAAAAGTTTTTATTTATAAAAACACTGAATAGCTCAAGGAATTATAACCTCTGCAAAGACGAAGCCGAACCCTGTGCCCTGTTCACCACACACAAGGATGAGCCCAAGTCAGTGGAATCAAGGACTCAGACTTTAAAGTGAATCTGTTATGAAAATATGAACTTACTTGAAATCGTTTCCCTATACATGGAATACACCAAATATCACAATGATACATGTTGTATTAAATGCGAAATATAAAGATTTACTCAGTTTTCCTCTGTCCAAGTGCCTCTTCATGTAACACCCACCTTCTGTCCTTCTTATGCTCCGCCTGTGCTCCTCCCAAAATCTTCTTTGATTTGCCCTGTTTGGGACAAATCCTCAAGCAGGGGAACTCTAGTCAGCATGCTAATGTCATGTGGCAGGTCATTTCTACTCTCCTTTGTCAGTCAATGCCTCGGCATGCTGAGAGAGAAAAGTCCACTTATAAATATTTATTTTTCTGATAATCTGTACATTTGCTCGTGAAACTACTAGCACAATATATAGATAGAATCTTATGTTCAATCTAATTAGCAATAGATGTTTGGGGAATGATATGTGCCCTTTAAAGTGCATAATAATCTATTGTTTAATTATCAACATCCCAATACTTTTCAACTTTTACTATTAACTGTTTGATGAAAAACAGCCC